AGATAGAAAGGACCACAAGCTCATATGTAGTGTACTGTGGATGCAGAGAGTAAGGAAGAGGCAAGGGAGGAAGAGGCAGAGTCATCAGAGAGGTGAGCAGAAGGATTTTGGACAACAGGCTCTGTCACAACCCAAAGGAGCTTGGGTTGTACTCTGATTAAAACAGGAGGCATTGAAATGTTTTGGACAACGGGACGGTGTGACCTGATTTGCACTGTAGAGATATTGCATTGTCTGAGCACATACTCATGGCCCTTCCAATCCAGCTGGTTAGGAAGACTTGTCAGGTCAATAGTCATATTATATCAGTATCCCCATTGCCCTACCTCAGACTGGTATCATTTCTTCTATGGACTATTCCATGGTATCTTGGATTCTGCTCCATTTTTTATACTTTAGAGGTAGTAAGAGTGTATCTTCTATAAGCAAGTCACATTATTATATTATGTCATAACCTGACTTGAAAACATCTAAAGTCTTTCTCCTCCAAGGGATAAAATCAAAACTCCTTAACAAGGTCCTTCACAGTAAAGCCTCAGATAATATTTTCAGTTTCTTTCCTCTTCTAGACTCTGAACACCACTAGGGCAGAAACCAGGCCTTATTCATCTTTGTAGATTCAACATCTAGCACAATGCATGACACATAGTATTTGTTCAATAAATGTTCGCTGAAAGAGTAGAGATATAAATGTGACACCTTTCCACTATATACATCTACTTCCTTTCAAGTTAAAATAGTTCATGCTGCATTTTGCTGTAGGTAACATGACTGTGGCAGAATGAGCAATGGCTGTGCCTACCTCATGTATCATCTTCCTCATCATCATCATCCCCAGAATTGCAGCAAGCATCCAGTTGTTAAGCACTTACTGCCAGTGATGGATGAATGTATAGAACAAGGAGCAAATGCAGCTCACTTTCAGCAGGAAGGTTGCACGCACATTCTGAGCTGTTATAAATAAGGCTTGAATACAGGAATGAGTTTGTAAGAGTGATTTGTTTTGTGAATCAAGACTGAGGGCTACAGCATCTCTTTCGTAGTAAAGGTCTCTAATGAAACTATGTTAATTGGACAAGGAAAGAAAAATTAATGTGGCCATCAAAGGCAAGAAGTGAAACTCCTCTATACTTAGTAGGATCTTTCAGAGCTTCTTCACAGGAGCATACATGCCAGAGAGGATGGTGAGGACCAACCTTCTGAAAGTCAAACAAATATGTGTTTAAAGTCAGATTATATTTTGAGCACATGCCTGATTTCGTGTGTGTATGTGTGTGTAAATGAGAGTCGGTGAGAAATGTACCACATTATAGCTTCTTTCCCCTCAATTATGAATGCTTATTTTAGATATCTTGAAAATTAAAGAAGAAAAACCAATAGTAATCCTAACATGTATACCAAGTGTTAATATAATGGATTATTATTCTAGTCTTTTTAATGTTTGCATAAACAGTGTTTCATACTGTTAAAAACCACACACCTCTGTCTGTCATCAAGTGAACATGGTTTTCAGTCCTGTACTGCCACCTTCTTTTTTTTTTTTGTACTGGGGATCGAACTCAGGACCTTGCGCTTGTGAGGCAGGTGCCAGAACCACTGAGCTAAATCCCCAGCCCACTACCTTCTTGATTGAAAAGTTATTTCAGTTATCTAAGCCTCAATTTTCCTTTCCATAAAATAATGATGATGATAATAATAATAATATGTAACCTATGGATAGGTTTTGAATATTAAATTAAATAACTTATATAAAGTGCTTACCATATGTAAAATGGTTAGCATGGTGCTTAGCCCATGTAGCAAGTGCATGATAAATGTTCCATAGAGTCTTTTCTTTTTTTACAAAATAGATTTTATGCAGTGTGTGTGCATATAGTTTTGTGTCATACTTTTTCTAATACTTTCAACATATTCTATGAAATGACTATTTGGCAACTGATTTTACCATTCATGGTTAAAAAGCTGGTTTGTTTTCAGTGTTCATTATTGTGAATAACACTAGCAATAGCAATGGTCATTTTAAACTTAATCTTTACCATATCCATAATTATTTTCTAAGGACAAATTTTCAGAAGTTTAATTATTAAATCAAAGTATGCATGAATATGTGAAAATAGCTAGAGCTATTTTCCTCTAGATAGTCCATACCAGTTCATCCTCCTTCTAGCCTAACATAAGTTGCATTTTTCATCCATACCAACAATGGGCATCTACAGGTATAGCTATATATCATACCAATTCAGTAGGCCCAAGGCCTCTAATTTTGATTTAATTTTAATATATCATAAAGTAGCATTAATTATATTAGTGACTATTAATATGTATAATATAATATTTAAAATATTATTAAGGCATATTAATTCAATAACTCATTTGAAGCCACATCTCGTTGGGACTTTTAATATTGACATTGGTGAGTACATGAATGAGAAGGGCCCTTAATTTTGTACACTAAAGAAGCTAGTGTTATCCTACAAAATATAAAATCAAAGGGGAAATTTTATGACTACTTTCAAGGATATCAGTTAATGTGAAAGAATTCTTTTCTATGTTGCATGTAGTTCTACTGAACAAGAGGAGCTGGGTTTGATTGATGCAAAGGTGGATCCGAAACTTTCAACATGAAACACAGACAGTCCCTTGAGGAAGATCATGGGGTCCCTGGAGCTCCTAAGACCTGCATAATCATCTTTTTGCCCTGGGTGGCTAGAGACTTGCTCCCTGAAGGACAGGGGCACTTCACTCAAAATGTTTGTTCTCTTGCATTTCTGCAATTCTGTAGTTACTTAGTGCAGTGTTGATTTTGTGCTATTTTTGGAACTAGCAGAGATAGCTTTGTTCCAATGTATGTACCATATCAGGTGACATTTTTGAGCAGATGAATTAAGCTGTGTCTAGAAACCATCTCTCGTTTATTACAAGTACAAACACAAGCAATGCAATTCCTGCCATCATCTGTCTAACTTGAAGCAGGTTAATACTTAACGTTGACCACAGCCTTTTAAAAATAAGACTTTCTGTATTTGTTCTTTGCATGCTTAGGTGGTGTTTAATAGAAAAGTGTATTTATTGTTTAAAAATATGTTTAAGACACATAATGAAGAAATAAATGAGAACAAAAATGATGACTTTTTGCTACTGACCAGTCTACCCCAGCTCTTCCTCCTGGATTCTTTCACACAAAGAACACATTGTTATTGGAACCATTACAGAGCTCCTCTGCTCTGCCAGGCTCTGTGGGGCTCGAGGGAAATGGCTATAGATTGCAGCAGAAAAGTCCATCAGACAGATCTCATGTGACCCCCCCTGTTTCCAGGAAAGAATGCACTAGAACACTTCAGCTGAATAGGCAGATTTTCCAAATGTTTTAAATCAGTTTTGAGACAAAAAGAGGAAGTTGCTAAGAAATGGATTTGGCCTATGCACACTGGACCATATAGTGCCCATTTCTATGGAATGCAGACATTAGGGGCTTTCATGTGGAGGGGGGACCTTATGAGGGGAAAAATAACTCCAGCCTACCACAACAATTAAGCAGCAATTGAAGAAAAGCAGGCAAGAAAAGATGGCCCTGTGTTAGTACAATAGCTCAGGGGCTTTTCATTTTGGGGCATAAAGACAGAACAGAGAATGTTGTTTTCTTTTTAAAGCCCTTTTAAAAATGGTAACTGCATCCTGCTCTTGTAGATGTATTACTTATGACATCCAGTTTTCATCCGTTCATGATTTTACATTAGAGTTAAATCTCTGCAGCTTGAATCTCACGGCTGAGTTAGCCAGAGCCCATAAAATATTGAAACCTTTAGAGCAGCAGCCAGCCAGGTTGAGAGAAGTTCATGTCCAAAGCTGAGCTTTAGATTCTGAGACATCCCAATTGGAGTGTAGTACAGAAAAAAGCACTGATAAAATTTTCATAAAAATGAGCTGAGGATATTGCTAGCATGCTTCTCAGCATCTATATGAAAACTTAATCTGAGCTAATGGAAAGGATATGAAAGCCTTTCTCAATTCAAACACAGTCAATGCATGATTCATAAATTATTGTCAGAGAAGTGATTCAGCTCCCAGATTTATTCTCTTTTGGGTAGAAGCAACCAGAGGAAAACTGGGTCTTTTTGACCTTTAATGCCAGCAAATTTTACAGTAGAGCTGTCGATATAACCAAGTAAACTGGTCATTTCTCCAAACAGCAACAAAATACCCACATAAATCCCATGCGAGCTAATATTAGCTTGGCCCACTAGGTTGCTGATAGCTCAGTTAGAGAAGCAAGTGGCAAACATATGAGCTTTTCTCCATACACAAACTGAGTGAAATCGCTCTGTGGCCAGGCTGAGGTCATTCACAGTAATTTGGGTGAAATGTGGCTGTCAGATGTCTCCTTACTTTCATACCCTTTAAATAGCGACAACTACATGTTGTTGTTGGTACTAGCACTTAATTTTATAGATAAAGAAAAGGAGTTTATGATCGCCCCCGCCTCCGCCGCCGCCCGCCTCACCGCCGCCTCGGGACCGGCTGTATGATTAGGCTACAATCTTCAATGAGTAGACATATTCCTCAGTTCTGTGGTGTTCTTGGTCACACATTTATGGAGTTTCTGAAGGGCAGTGGAGATTACTGCCAGGCACAGCACGACCTCTATGCAGACAAGTGAACTGTAGAGATCCATTACTGCTCCACCAAGAAGCCCCATGAGAGAGGCTCACCTGGACACAGAAATGGTGAATTGAAATCGTAGAGCATTTTACAAGAGTTCTGACCTGGATGGGGTAAACCTTAGTGCACTTCCTTTCTCTTGCCTCAGTATTACTGGATTAAAGGATTGCTGCTTCTTGTTAGGAGGTTGATTTCATTTCCTAGTACTCCCAATACCATACTCAAAGAACTGAGAAGTTCAAGTGGGGTATATTGAAGTAGACTTCAGTTTCTTGCATCATTTCTATTGAAGTTTTAAAATCTTTCGTAACCCTCTTAAGTTTTTTTTGACTAAATTAATAATGGCTCGAATAAACCGCCCAGCTCCTGTGGAAGTCACGTACAAGAGCATGAGATTCCTCATTACACACAATCCAACCAATGCAACCTTAAACAAGTTTGTAGAGGAACTTAAGAAGTATGGAGTTACCACAATAGTAAGAGTATGTGAAGCAACGTATGACACTGCACTTGTAGAGAAGGAAGGCATCCATGTTTTTGATTGGCCATTTGACGATGGTGCACCACCATCCAACCAGATTGTTGATGACTGGTTAAATCTTGTAAAAATTAAGTTTCGTGAAGAACCTGGTTGTTGTATTGCTGTCCATTGTGTTGCAGGCCTTGGGAGAGCTCCAGTGCTTGTTGCCCTAGCATTAATCGAAGGTGGAATGAAATACGAAGATGCAGTACAGTTCATAAGACAAGAGCGGCGCGGAGCTTTTAACAGCAAGCAACTCTCATATCTGGAGAAGTATCGTCCTAAAATGCGGCTGCTGTTCAAAGACTCCAACGGTCACAGGAACAACTGTTGCATGCAATAAAACTGGGATGCCTGATGCGACTGCCTTGGATGTACAGCTTGAGGCAGGACCTGACTGTCATACAGATTAGCCCATGTGTTGGCTCGGTGAATGAGTCTAACAAAGCTTCCTTAGGAGCGTTGCAAAGCAGTTATACAGGCTACCCACAAGCTTAACAGAATCGCAATCTCTGGGTTTGGGTTATGATCAGCATATTTGGACAATTACTACAAGATTCTTACTGTTCAGCATTTAAATTGTGCTTATCATTTGTACCAATTGACTTTCCTGAAACCATCCAGTACTGAGTTAGGATATTCCCATGCTAGAATCTTAATGATACATAAGAAATTTAGAAAGATTGGGTGCCAAAATACCCAGCACAATACTCTTATATTTTTAGTATCACATAGAACCAAAATTCCAGGAACTAAGAATACTCTAGGCCTGTGGTTTATTCCTTCAGTCATTTCAAACACAGTAGGGCCTATGTGGCTATTTTCCTGCTCACTTTATGTTTACATCTCACACTCAAACCAGTATGCATCAGGTTTGCTTAAACATTGATTGTTCTTTTTGATTATTACCAAATCTTATGGTGATTATTTAATGTCTTTCTACAAGTCTTATTTTGTGCTGTTCTGGGAAACCTCCATTTTGAAAATCTACATTGTTACAGAAGTACATGTCTTTAATGTCTCAGACAAAAAAGCCTTACAGTTAATTTAATGCTTGCACTCTGAGGTGCAACTTAACAGGGAGGGCCTGAAAAAAGACTAGGAGTGGGCTATTCAATATTTTTAGTAAAATGTTGCCTTTGTCTTGTGCAGAACATGTAGAATATGCTCTTTAATTTAGTAAATATTTTTTAAAAGGTATAGATGCTTTGTTATTGTAGCTAGAACAATTCTTAATCATAAAATTTCTGAAATTCTTGTAATTTTTTCCGTACTTATCAGAAGTTGTGTACCAACTTATTTTTGTTTGCAGTGTGATTTTTTTTCCTTTTCCCAGCCTCTTGCAAAAAACAGAAGTGAGTTTCTGCTAATGAATTGAGCAGACATCTAATATTTTATATGCCTCTTGAGCTGTGTAACTTAATATTTGGATACTTCATAATTTGTTCTATTATGTAATTGATAAAATGGTGATGTGTATTAATGTTAGTTCAACCATATATTGATACTGTCTGGGAATCTGTGGTTATAGTGCTGTGGGACAAACAATTTGTCAGTGTTCACCAGCTTGTAAAAACTTAGTGCAAGAGCTTAAACATCTAAATAAATAATGAAATCCAAAAAAAAAAAAGAAAAGGAGTTTATGCTTTGAATTATAAAAGCAATAGTGCTATATAGAAATTATGTACATTTTTCAGATTAATATGAAATAAATATAAAAGGATAAAAGGATGGAAACTTAGTCCTGTGTCAGGAAGCCTGTTAGAAGTGTCCTTTGAATCTTATTTTTCTTTACCTATCAGACATTTTTACCCTCTAAAAAAGGCTAAGTATTATGGAAAATATAAAGACAAAAATGCAAATTCTGTGTGTGGATAAGTTGTGCAATAAGGTTGTTAAATTTCAAATTTCAAAAGGTTTTTAACTGTCTTCTTTTCAGAACTTTAGTCTTGTGTACAATGGCTCCATTGAATGATTAATTAACCTAGATTGCACATACTTAGCACATTCCTACCCTTGGTTAATACTGTCATTCTTTTAGCCATTAGCCATATTAGAAACCTAAAATCAATTGTGATTCTTCTCTTCATCTCTCAAACCCCTGCATTTGGAGTCACCATTTGTTGCAAGTCCATTGATAGATAACCAGTGTTTCTCAAGACAGTTCTAGTGCCTCAGCCATGTTGCCACAGGCTTTGTTGAGGCTTAATTATCTCTCCCTAGGACTTTTAAAAATATTGCCCAAATTTACCTGCCTGTTGTTTCTTCTTCCTCCAATTTATACTTCATCCTGTCACCACAGTTTCTTTCTAACATAAACCTGAGCATGTCACCCATGCATCTTTAAAAGCCTCTTATAGCCCTTCACTTTTTTACAGAATTAAGTCCAAACTCATTAGCATGCTATTCATGGCCCTCACAATCTGACCCATCTTCATGCAATCCTGTTCTAGTCCAGAGCAGTTGTTCTCAACCCTGGTTACATGTTAGACCCACCTGTGGGTAGAGATTATAGCAAATACCAAAGATTGGGCCCAACTTGAGATGAGCTGATTGGGAATTTGGGGCAGTGCACAGTCATGACATACTTTTCAATGATTACCAACTGAATAACACACAAGTAAGACTGGAATGATTGCTCTAGGAGTCATAGGCTATTTCTTATGTCCATGAACTTTCATGCCTTTCCACCTCTATTCAAGATGTTACCGTGGCTTGAAATCTAGTCTTAGAATAAAGGCAAATGTTAGCATTTAGAGTGATGTTTTCAGAGTGATCAAGATGGGCAGGGGACTCTAAGGAACTTCCTAGGTTTACCCCAAAGAGAGCCCTGAGGAGGAGGGATATTTATTGAGCATGACATCATATCCTGGATACTTCCATGGCCTTCAGGTACAGTGAAAATATTTGGGATCATAGAATGTAAGCTCTGATAGGGCAAGAATCTTATCTGTCTCAGTCCATGTTGTAACTCCAGCCCATAAAATAGCTCCCACAATGTGGTAGGTGCTTGGTAAATGCTTGATAAAAGAAAGAATGTTGAATGTGAGATGACCAGATATACAAGTAACACTGACTCAGAGGTTTTGGCTATGCCATTAGCTCAATCTGGGACTTCAGTCAACTAAGATGCTTTTTGAATTCTGAAAGTTGCTTAGAGTGTGATAGCTATCCCAGACTTCCACTAGTTGCAAACATGTGGATTAGCTGCTGAGCCAGGGTTGAACATATCTTTCTTTATATAAGCTCCATGGAAGAGGTGCCCACATTACTACCCAATCTATCAAGAATGTATGAAATAGGTTCTGTATGTCCAGTAATATGTAAAGTATTATTGCAAGCAAGCATTCAAGGACAGTATAAGATTTAGACCTTCCCTTGAAGAGTTTGTAATCTACTTTGGAGTTAAATCCTTATAGAACACAATGAGAGGAAAATAGAAGGCAATCTATTATTATGTTACATGAGGTATGGCCAGAAATTGTAAAATGAGGATGGATATCTCTCTGATATGTATAAACCAAAGCTGTTTCTCACACTTCTCAAGTGTGAGTGTTTGACGGATGAGCATGTTTTATTTATTGAAGAAGAAAGCTGTACTCAGATATAACATTAGAATTCTGTCCCTTTAAGGTCATTGTTGAACCCTGCGATGATCGTATGTTAATTACATTCCAGAGAGATGCAATGACTGTATTTCAGTGGTTTCAGAGATATTTGTGCAATTAGAATCATATTTAGGGTGGTTGCTATCTGTATTTTCACATCTAAGATCTATGAAATAATATTCTAAAACAGGAGAAAGTCTAAGTACGTAATTAGGTCAACTTGAAGTCCTTCTTGTTGAATCCCCTGCAGCCCTGAGGAGAAAGCCTGTATTGGTCACTTTCCTCCAGGCTAGCCCCTTTCCAGGGCCTCTATAGTCGGAGGGTTCAGGTACTGGATGGCTATGGGTGCCATTACCAACTTCAATGGTCAGGCAAGCTAAAGCACCAAAGCAAGGACTTACTATAAGTCAATTTGACTTTGAGAGTTGTTTCTCTCCTTAAGGGATTGTTTTACACAGCAGGATGTATAGTATGCATAGTGCAGAAGCCGAGGGATATGGAAAAAGAACCAGTGTGTTATTTAAATCAAACTTAGGGGAAGAAAGAAGGCTCTTCTAATAAGCTTTTCAAAATCACTGTGATCACAAGGCTGAGATCGAAAAATAAGATGAGGTATTCTTATATACCTGTGTATGAAAATTTCAAAACACTTATTATAATTGTACAACTTCAATAGAGCTGCTATTTCAAGAGCTGCTAGAGATAAAATTCTACTGTGTGGTTAAAATGTTGGTCTTTGTGCTAGAAGATTAAAGTGCCCAGTCCCTCATTTATGTCCCTTTGCTATATGGACACATAATTGTATTATCAGTATTAAACAAATCCTTAAAGCATGTACCTTATTTAGGTTGACTTTTTTAAAAACCCTAAAATCCACTTCTCACCTGAAAAAAAATAGATACCTAAGTAAAAGCCCCAGGAAGCAGGGCTGTTTTCTTGTTCACAGTTTCGCTATTTGGTCTCAGGGTGTCTGTCACCTATAGACTCAGATTTTATGAGTACTGACCTCATTTGCTTCCTTTGTTTTTAATTGCCCAAGCAGCACTGAAAAAGGAGGCAAGGAATACCATTACAGCTGGCGAAGTTAACATACATAAATGGCACTGTTATATGGGGAGGCTGTAATAAGTCATGTGACAGAGAGCAAAGGCAGCCCAGCGTGCAAAGGGAGCAATTTTCTGCCCTGCAAACAGCACTTCAGGTGCTGTCGTTCATCTTTCTGTGACTTGCTCTGTCAAAGTCCGCCCAGAGCAGAGGTGTTCAGGGACCCAACAGGCCATAAGTGTCCAGCTGAAAAACCTGGGAGATATCCCTAGGCTCTAGGAGTTCACTTTTTCAGTTGCACTGATTTACTTCAGAATGCTCCTTCAGGGAATTTCTGCCTTCTCTTGCTTTACTTTCCCATTTCCTTTCTTGTCATCTTTAAAAATCCATTAAAGATCACGCAGGCAGTTTCTGCAGGCTCAGAATTCTGAGAGTTTCTGTCACTTAATAAAATGCACCCTTTCAGGGAGCTGTGGTCTCCTTTGTGCTTTTAGGGCTTGGAAACTATTAAGACTTTTAATTAGAGATGGTGATCATAGATCAAGAAAGCAAAAATGGCTGAAATTCTCAGAGAAGTCAACAGTTTCCTATCCAGGGATCTAAAATGGCTCCTTGGCTTACAGATCCAGGGAACAAAACACTAACTATGGATTATTAGAACAGGAAGAAAAATTAAAATATGTTTTCTACCTCCATTTCCCCTTAATTATTTGTTTCAAAGTACTCCAATTGCCAAGGTTAAGTGTTTATTGTCAACACCCACTGAAGGCTGCTTTAGGAAAGGAAATTCAGCTTTTAATTTGTTTACAAATCCAATTTCCAAGGGTGCTCCTTACCCAGCAAAGCACAATTTCTACTGAAATCTTGCTTGTAATTTGTCTTTCCTCCCACTGAGTCCTCTGTCTATACCCTTCTGCACAACTCATTCGTTGTATAATATGCATGCAGCCTTCTTCACAGTACAGGAAGATTATAGTCAAATGCCACCTCTCCAATCATATCATATTAATTCAGATTTGTCTATCATTTTGTGTGGTTGCTGCTTTGCCTTAGGTATTATAATAACAATACTTCACCTGTCATATCCCACTAGCACTGCCTCACCTAGAAAATTGCTCTAATACTGCCTCGGATCTCACAGATCTTTTTTATTTTTTATTTTTATTTATTTATTTTTTGCACAGGCATACCTATTACTGCACAATAATTGAACTTTTATTGGAGGCCTCTACATATATTTTTATTATATTTTATGTCTGGTCTAGCAATTGTTACACACTGATTTTTACAGCAGGATTGAATCATTCAAAGTCAGTCTTTCTTTTTTGTGGCTCATCTGTAAGACATCTTGTTCCTTTTCAAACTACTGCCAATCTCCATTTGAGTAGATTCAGTAAATAATATTTTGCTATAGATGAGCAGCTATTCAAGGTATTATTTATTTGGGGATTTTAATATTAGGCAATGTTATATGGTTCTATGAAAAGATGTCTGGATGTCTTGCATTGGATATCTAAGCTTAGTATTTCATTTCTTGTGACAAATATTTGAATATACATGTTTAAAAATAAAATATAAATTCTTTGAGACACATTTTTCAGAGAAAGCCGAAGTGTGGCAAATACAAAAGAGAGATTTTTGCTTATCAAAATAGTATAGATAGATTTAGCCAGTGTTTTTCTTTAAATCATGAAGCTGCTTAGGTAATTTTCAAGTATCTACAGTCACAGGTAATTTGTTCTCAGGGTTTATGAGAACTCTGGCTGCTTTAACATGGCATGCTGAATTAGAAGAAGGCTACCTTTTTAAGTGCTACACAATGAAAACAGATGATATATTCAAATAAAGCCTGCCACTGCCTTGTAATGTATGCTGTGTTCCAGAAAGGAGAGGAAGTTGCTGAGAACAAATACCATCTTCTTGGCTAAGAAGCCGTCACCAATGTCTTTTCACATAATTAAACTGGACATGTTTTTTA